ACTTCTCGGAAGATTATCGTAGTTCACTCGCAGACCGCCTGTAGGCAGTGGCGGATCTAACGCTTAGCAGACTGAGCAGCTGCTAGGGGCCCCGGACGGCCAAGGGGCCTCGTGTACAAATTTATCCCTCAAAAAATACTTCAAATAAATTTTCCAATATAAAGAAATTTCCAAATTTGAAAAAATCATAAAATTTTAAATAATATTTGTTATTAATGGAAAGGGGGCCCCGTAAAAAAAATTATTTCATAAAAATAACTGAAATAAACTTCGAAATATAATGAAATTATTAAAAAAATTCTTTCAATTACTATGCTGAATTCAACGTTAATAAGCGTTTGCAAACATTAGCAGTTTACAGTAATATGTTTGAAAACAATCTGTCATTCGTTTCGTTAGACATCCCTACTTTTCTCTCTTTAATATCGTATCGTTGTTTTGTTGTTGAAAGCGCGTGTTTTTATTTTTTAAAAAAGTATTGTGGTCAAATAATTAAAACGTTATTTAGTTGTCTGTTTTTTTCTTTTATTTCAAGTACCTAAGTGGTAAACATTTTTATTTACTTTTGATATAAATTCATTAAATGAATTTCATTTTAATTAATTACAAATGGCTTTTATAATTAATTGAATTGTTTCAATATTAAAATTCAAACTTGGCAGATAGATGCTATTAAAATGTAATTATATATTCACTTAATATATTAATGTTTGTAACAAATCTGTCGACAAAATATATTCAAATTCGTTAAAAGTTGTTTTTAGTTCAAAGATGTATATCACCTATATAGTTATAAGTTGGAAATAATTGAAAGTTAAAAAGCCTCTCCACGACACACTAAGTTTGGGGGCCCCAAATTTTTTTCTTCTTAGGGCCCCCGCTTGACTTAATCCGCCACTGCACATGTACACACACACACACGTACATAAACCCACACAAAAAGTTAAGGAAGGGGGTTTAAATGTTAAAAAGTAGGATTTAATGTCTTTTTTAAATTTTACAACGGATTTTGCTTCTTTCAAATATTCAGATAATTTGTTCCACGTCTTAGGTACAACGACTCTTATGCTACTATTGATAAGTTTCAATCTGTTTTTTTTTCAATATAAAATGTTGAGGTATGTCTTGTGTGTTTTAACTGGATTTCGTTACTATAAAATAACAAATTAATAAAATTTTTTGTAATTAAGTTTTTAATAAGTTAAAATGTAAATACTGAGATGCATGTGTAATAAATTTGTTTTATTGAAAGTAGTTTTGCAATCTGAAAATAATTAGAGGTGTGGTCATTAAATTTCAAATCGAATAAAATTCTTATAAAACGTTTTTGACATTTTAACAGGGGATCTAGCTGATAAGCAGGACTATTTCCCCATATGATCACGCAATAATGAATATAAGGGTATATAAAGCTATAATACAAATCTTTTAATATTGTGGAATTAATCTTATTTTTGATTTTATAAAGTACACCTATGAATTTATTTATTTAAGATTTTCAATGTGATAACTGTGAGACAAATTATCTTGCAGAACTAAACACAAAAAACAACTTGATTGGTTCTGTTTAATTTCACATTGCTAAACACAAGGTCCAAGTCCGAGAAACTATTGATTAAAATCTTTTGTCCAAATATGACATAGGCTGATTTGGATGAATTAACCATGAGTTTATTCATGGAGAACCAATCCTCGAATGATTTGAGTTTATTATTTATGACATCTAAATCTCGTTTAAGGTCATTAGAAGAATAAAAAATGTTTGAATCATCAGTGTAAAGAATACAATTCATCTTTTTTGATAAATAGGCAATGTCATTTATATAATTTTAAAAAAGCAAAGGGCCTTATACAAATTTATATTTTTGTTTTTCTAGGATCTTTAAGAATTTTCGATTTAAGAATTTTTCAAAGGACGCAAAATAACTAATTATTACTTAACATAATAGTTCTGACGTTCATATTATTCTTCATCTTCTCTTTTTTCACTTTACTGAAGTGACACGGTGGCCTATACAAGTTAATTTATATACATATATATAATATATATATATATATTATATATATATATATATATTTACAATATTCTATAATATAGAATATTGTAAAAATTATGGTCTATTACTAACATACATATATTATTATTATTATTCGAAAATTTGTATAGCGCTAATTACAAACAAAATGTTTCTTAAAAGCGCTGTCAAGAAAAAAAACAGTTGAATTGCTACGATAAACCAAATCTTAAAATCTTATAATGAAAACAAAAATGATTTCAATAATTTCTTAAACAATTTTTCTGTCAGTTCGGGCTGTCTTAGATGACTTGGTAGACTATTCCAAACGGCTGGTCCACATACTGAAAAACTTCTCTCAGCCATTTTCAAGTTGACATTTTTAAAAGACAGTTGTTTCGGTGCATGCATTTCTTTCAAATAAACTGGCGCCATTCCCTTCATACATTTGGACATGATTGTTGATATTTTGAACAAAATTCTTTTTTTGACCATCAACCAGTGCAGTTCTCTGAATATCGGGGTGACATGGTCAAACTTTTTCGCACCAACCACGATCTTAGCTGCCCGATTCTGAATTGACTGAAGCACAGATAACGATTTTTCAGGCAAACCATAAAATAGGCTGTTGCAGTAATCCAGTCTAGAATGAATAAACGAATGCACTAAACTTTGAATAACATCTTTGGTTAAGCTTGGGCGGATTATTTTTAATTTTCGCAGTTGTATATATATATATATATATATATATATATATATATATATATATACATATATATTATTTATTTATTTATTCAATACCAAAAACCACACAATAAAAAAATAGCAATCAATGGTCTTCGGAGACCAAATAAAAAAATTAACTTGTATAGGCCACCGTGTCACTTCAGTAAAGTGAAAAAAGAGAAGAGGAAGAATAATATGAACGTCAGAACTATTATGTTAGGTAATAATTAGTTATTTTGCGTCCTTTGAAAAATTCTTAAATCAAAAATTCTTAAAGATCCTAGAAAAACAAAAATTTCTCAAAGTCACTATCTAAACAGTAAACTAAAAAAAGAAATGAATGATCTAATCATTTCAAAATAATAGGTATTATCTTTAACAAAAATTAATGGTTTTGCAAATTCTTTTCAATGTCACCAATCTTCAGCCTTTCAATCAAATTTGACAGATAATTCCAATCAATTGGTTCTGACACAACGATGTTTCTCGACGCCATCCGAGGAATTTGATGGTTAACGCAATCAGATGCTGCACTAAATATATATATATATAAACATAAAAAGTTTTATTATTATAATAGTAAAAACAGTTTTTTAAAGTTGAGTTAAGTACAAAATCTTTAACATTTGTGTTCTGGGACGATTGTTCAGCGCATCTATCATGACATTTTCTTCGTTGATTAACGACAAAAATTCGCCTTCAAGTTGTGAGGTCTCATCTTCATCCATCTCAACCAGCAAATTGACACCTGGTTGGAAAAAACAAGGAAGATTGCCATTCCTCAGACATGTTACTAATTCCCGTAACATGTCTGTCTATTAACCTCAATCCTAAACATTCATCAGACTAAAGCCTATCATTCGAATGTTCCTGGCATATTTTGAAAAAAGCGTTTTTAAATGATATGATGTCAGTGAACCTAAAGATGGATTTTTATTTTTAATAATGTTGAGAATTTTCAAAAGGTTTTTACGGTTCTGTTTTTTATAATTGAATTTTTCAATAAATATTTTTTCATCAAGACTGAACGATCTCCTCCATGTTAGATATTTTTTATCTGGTTCGATGAAATGTTGCAGATAAGAACTCATTTCTTTTGGTATGTAGAGTTTGCCAGTCTTCAGTTTCAAGGTTGGAACAATATCCACTGAGAATCTCATGCTCACAGTTTTCGGGTACTTGAAAATAGTTTTTCATTCATTAAAAAAAAATTATATAAATTGGGATCATAAAATGCTGACTTGAATGAAGACATCCATTTGAATGGCTGAACCATGACGTTTGACCTCTGTAACCGTGTTCCGATATATCTTTTTATGAATACGGAGGTAGGATTGAATCGTCTCCATGAAATATTTCGACAGAGAGAGCGGACATATGTAGCGATCTTCATTCAAAAGTTTCAGCTATCAGATGAGCGTAGTTTAACAAATGAGTTGATTCTTCCTGTTTATTCATTATGTAAGTGAAAAAACCTTAGTTAAGGAATAATAAGGAAAAAAGTTTATTCGACATTATATTAAATGGACAAAACAAATTATGTTAAAAAATAGCAGAAAATATTTCTAAATACACAAATTTTAATTGGAAAAAATTTTTTTTAAATTGGTTGGCAAGAAAATTGAAAAGCTAGTGATCAGAATATGGAGATAGTGATATAACATCCTAACTATAACGGTGTCTTTCATATCCCAGACGAGCATGACGTCGATCTCTTTGCTAGCCTGGCCCTTTAAATTTCCATTCACTTTTAAATCTTCAAAAGCACTTCCGACATACATCGGAGATGCAACAATTGAATTTTCACTTAGTTCTTTAACAATGTTATTTATATTGGTACGAGTGAATTGTTTTGCTTGTTCAAGTCGATCTGGCGGGCGGGCGTGTGTATTCGCGCAATTTTCTATGGCCTCTACCAATCTGGAACTTCTATGCCAACTCTTATAACCTGTACAAATTTTCGAACGACTTCGCTTAATGAAATTCATCAACTGAGAATAATCAACTAGATGTAAAAATTTATCGTAAGCTCTAGATATATATATGTGATGTTGAATTAAATTTTAAGTGATGGTAATAATTTATTTTCAGTTTTCAAACTTCCACCAAAAACTTTACCTTTTAATAGAAAAAAAACCGTTCACACATACACACACTCACGCACATCACAAACACGCGCGCGCACCCACACACACACACGCACACACACATCAAAATTAAAAATCTTCTTCAGTTTTCTTCGTCTTGTCGTGAAGTGCCTTGGAGTAGAAAATTTAAAATGCTATGTTGCCATTATTACCTCTAAAAGTTTTAAAGATTAACTGATATAAACCCTGGAAACTGCTGACAATATACCTCGACATGATTGGCATTTTTTAAAATAAAATAATTGACTTTAAAATATATATATTATATATTAACCATTTGGATGTGGATGGGCTCGATAGGTTGGTGTCCGGAAAATTCATCGTGGAAAATTCATCGTGGCAAATTCATCGTGGGAAAATTCATCGTGAGGGAAAAGTCAACGTGGGAAAATTCATCGTGGGAAAATTCATCGTGGGGGAAAATTCATCGTGGGGGAAAATTCATCGTGGGGGAAAATTCATCGTGGGAAAATTCATCGTGGGGGAAAATTCTTCGAGGGGGAAAATTCATAGTGGGGTAAAATTTATTGTGAGAAACAGTTTTTGCAATTACACACCTTACACACCCCATGAATGTTGTAGATTATAAATACGTAGTTTGAGGACTTTTCTATCCTTAACCTTTTCTGTAATGAAATTTAAAACAACTCAACAACTCAAAAATGTGTGTCGTGGAGAAGCTTTTTAACTTTCAATTATTTCCAACTTATAACTATGTAGGTGATATACAACTTTGAACTATAAACAACTTTTAACAAATTAGAATATATTTTGTTGACAGATTTGTTACAAACATTAATATATAAAGTGCGAAATTTTTAAAATATTAAAAACTGAATTATTCAAATTAAATGTTCAAATTCCTTTTATTTACAAACACAACACACACACACACACACACGCACACACACACACACACACACACACACACACACACATATATATATATATATATATTATATATATATTATGGAACGTGTCCGCGTTCATTTAAGGCTCTTCCAGTGCTTAGTGTTTCGGGTTTGTCTTTTTCCTATGGTGAACACTCTTCCTGGGATACAATCATTGCAAATATTTTTGTCGAGCGCCATTGCAGACTTCATGCTATTTGTGATGTGCTTCGTAGATTAAAATTTGGTCAAATACAAATATAAAAAAAATACAAAATTTCCAAATAGTCAAAAAAATATGTTTGACAATAATGTAATTCGAAGAGAAGATTAAAAGAAATCATTGGAAAATAATAATCGACAAACAACATTTTTTCAAATAAATTTCTTCCTAGCTTTACTTCTTGCAAATTCATCAATAATTTTGGCAGTGTCAACACTATTAATTATTTCTTGTTCTATATACAAAACAACTAAATTATTTAATTTTTGTTCCCCCATTGTACTCCTCAAATAATTTTTAATTCTTTTCAAAACAGAAAAAGATCTTTCACCAGATGCATTAGATAAAGGAATAGTTAAAAAAATTTCAATAATATTTCAATATTGGGAAATGTGCATGACATTTCTTTAGCGGCTTTATAGATTCTTTCAAATGATAAATCTTTGTTATTACTTGAATTATCTGGCTTATTCTTATTGGCGTCCTCATTTTCCTTCAAAAAAAATAAAAAATGGTTTAGTTCATCTTCCAAATTACAAACATCAATGTCATTTCTGTAAATATTTTTCAATTCTTTCAATGATTTTTGTTTTTTTTCTTCTGACAAATTCCAATCAAGAAATATACGAAAATGTCCCAAAACAACCTTATATTTTTGAACTCTTTGTAGCAATTGTGTTTTAATACTATCGCATATGACATAAAATGTATTGATTTTAAAATTATCTCTAGTTGTAAATTTATTCTCTTCTTTATTTTCATCAAAAAACGCATTTCTTTTTCTTCTGTTAAAAGTTACTTTATCTTCCACACTAAAAGATTGTAATCCTGATAAATCGGTTGCTTCTGTAATAACTTTTTCATAATCATTTCTGAAATTCTCAATAAAACTGTCTATTGATTTAAGTAGCATTGATCCTTTAAATAATTCACATTCTATTGATTGCAGTGACTTACTGGTTGAATTTATTCTTTGCAGGATACAATTCCAAATAACAGCCATAAGAGCGGTTTCGTATTTATTTATTTTTTTAAGTAGTGATGTTGCTTCAACTATAGTGATAGGTTTTTCATCCTGTTCCTTGCATAGGTCAGTTAACGTTTCTTTTATTATTGTATATTTCAGTTTTAAAGCTAAAACAGCATCAGCTCTTGCTGACCATCTTGTATCTGATACCCTTTTTAACGAGAGAGACTGATCAACATCTATTTTGCTGTTCAGCATTTTCCAGCGATGAGTTGATGATGAAAAAAATGTAAATAGCTTTTGCACAAACATGAAATATCGAACCGCGGTGTTACAGCTCTCAGCAGCAAAATTTCCAACTAAATTCAATGAATGGTTAGCACAAGGAATAAAAACGGCACTCGGACTATGTTCTTTAATACGTACTTGTAAACCTGAGTACTTCCCTGACATGTTCGAAGCGTTGTCAAAAGATTGACCTCGACAGTTTTTAATATCTAGGCCAAATTTCATTAATGTTTCTAAAACTTCTTTTTCCAAGTATGAAGAGTTGTGCTTATCTATAGGAACGAACCCTAAAAATCGTTCCTTTATCTTACCAGAAAATGAAACATATCTTATCACAAAAGTAAGTTGGTCAATATGAGCAATATCAGAAGTGGAGTCAATAATTATACTGTAATAAGTTACCGATTTAATTTCTTTAATTATTTCAGCCCTTACTTGATTGCCAATGAGGCCTACAAATTCGTCACAAATATGATAAGATAAATAACTTGTATGACCCCGTCCTTGGTTTGCATATTTTTGTGAATAGAATTTTAAAAATTCATCATATTCACTTAAATATTCCAAACAGGTCAAATAATTTCCTTTTCCATTGGAATTTTTACTTTCATCATTACCGCGAAATCCTAATCCTAAGCGGTTTAATAAACTGTATTGTTGAAACAATCCTTTTTAAAACTTCTCTCCAATAATACTCTTTTTTTCTCTTTCCTGCAAAAGCTGAGAATCAATTCTGCTCAAAGCAGTTGATTTTTTGTACAGAGAGCACATAGATGACATGTGTTCTTTTGAAATTTCATGGTCTGATAAAACAACTGTTATTGATCTCCAATTTTCAAAGCCAGTTATTAATTTGGACTTTTTCTTGGAGAAAAGTTTGCAAGGGTAACAATAAACGCACTTGCTAGTTTCGGAAAATACCAGCCATGTTCTTTTTTCCAAAACTCCGTTTGATTTTTTTCTATAAAAATGATCATTAAAGAGCCCTCTGCTGTAGTAACATCATCTTTTTCTTTAAACACCGATTTTAAGTTTTCTATATTTCCTATATTTTCTGGTTTATTTTTTAAAATACAGTCAATAAATGAATCAGACAAACTGGCTGGTCATAAGGCTATATCATTATTTTCTTCATTTTTCTTATTATACAATTTATCTGGATTTTCTCTGTCTTCTGTTATCTCACTATTTTTTTTTCATCAACCTGATGTTCACTTTCTCCTTCTTCTTCCCTTTTTTCAACACTTATTGGTCTGTGACAAGGTTCAAAAGAAGATGTTGATGGCACAGGTAACTCGATATCGCTATTTACTAACAAATATTTATGAAATGCATTTTTCTGACTTTCAACAAATTCCTGGATTTTTAAGATTTTTTTTTCGCTCCACTTTGATGTCTTTTCATTTTTGTACTATGAAAGAAGTCGTTTTTATTAATTAATAAAATATAATTACGTTTTAATAGCATCTATCTGCCAAGTTTGAATTTTAATATTGAAACAATTCAATTAATTATAAAAGCCATTTGTAATTAATTAAAATGAAATTCATTTAATGAATTTATATCAAAAGTAAATAAAAATGTTTACCACTTAGGTACTTGAAATAAAAGAAAAAAACAGACAACTAAATAACGTTTTAATTATTTGACCACAATACTTTTTTAAAAAATAAAAACACGCGCTTTCAACAACAAAACAACGATACGATATTAAAGAGAGAAAAGTAGGGATGTCTAACGAAACGAATGACAGATTGTTTTCAAACATATTACTGTAAACTGCTAATGTTTGCAAACGCTTATTAACGTTGAATTCAGCATAGTAATTGAAAGAATTTTTTTAATAATTTCATTATATTTCGAAGTTTATTTCAGTTATTTTTATGAAATAATTTTTTTTACGGGGCCCCCTTTCCATTAATAACAAATATTATTTAAAATTTTATGATTTTTTCAAATTTGGAAATTTCTTTATATTGGAAAATTTATTTGAAGTATTTTTTGAGGGATAAATTTGTACACGAGGCCCCTTGGCCGTCCGGGGCCCCTAGCAGCTGCTCAGTCTGCTAAGCGTTAGATCCGCCACTGCCTACAGGCGGTCTGCGAGTGAACTACGATAATCTTCCGAGAAGTGAATACTGAGGATTTACGTCCAAGAAATATCTGACGTGAGAAGTTCGCTTATTGACAATTGGTTTTATTCCGCCATTTACCTGTCGATTAGTTATTGTGCTGTATTCTGAAGATTTTAACGATTGTATAAACGAGTGATTGATCACAGCAATACACGCAAGTGATTGCCAGCACTGTTTTTTTCTGATAAAGTTCATTTGAAATAAATCTGTTTAGGAGTCAGGAATCCACTTAGAGAGAAATATCTGTACCCTACATGTTTAAGGGGTCGGTTATAACAATATATTTATTTATTTATCTATTTAATAAAGTTTTACTCAAAGAAAAGCCCGCAATATATGAACACAATATTTATGGCATAATAAAGGATTTTTTTAGGTTAAAAAAATACGAGTCAAAACATTTTATTTACAAAGTTATTGTACATCTATTCATGTATTATATTGTCTGCTGCTGCGTGAACAAATAACTCGCAAGTGTTTATGTAGGCGGCAATAGTACGATCTTGTTGCGGTATAACGTATCGCAGCTGTGGTAAATTCGCATTGCATTTTGTGGTGAAGTAACCGGGAAGTAACGGGTGAGAAGCGTTTGATACCGATGGCACAGGTAATATGAGCCCAACACTGGCACCATTTATTGTATCGATCCTCCCGTCATGAGCAGGTCCATGTCTCTGGCTGCGTTAG